AGGGTGGCATGCCTGAGTTCAAATCCTAGCTCAGTGGGTGACTAGTTACTTATGTGGTCTTAGGCTATACTTGAACCTGTCTGAGCTTTGCTTTTTTCACTTGTGAAATGGATAGTCTCTGCCTTGCAAAAGTGGCTTTCTCACAGGCCACTGTCCCTGTTGGAACACAAGCATATTAACAATAACATTTGTTTTGCTGAAGACAGACCTGAGACTGTGCATGGAAGGCTCGGCTTTGTGAGTTGGTGGGCAGGACTGGACTGTATATGTTTCTTTTATCCTGGGCTAGTGTTTGAGAAGACAGGCCACCAACTCCTGCCATGGGGTGGGCTGTTCAGATTCCCTTCTGGCTCCTTCCCTATTCTATGTTCAAGGCCTTTGGGAATAAAGAGTCTTTTCTTCCAGCTGGGCCTTGGCATTCTGAGTGGGGGTTCCCCAGTACCCTCTGACCAGTCTTAGCAGAAGAGGCAAGTCTCAGTTCCTTCCTCTCCTATTCTCTTAAAAGCAATAGAACTTGCCACTTTCAGGGCAGGGAACAAAGGCTGCCTGTTGCCTGGCAGGAGGTTCCTTCCTTTGCTCTAGTCCAGGCTGAAGATTGGCCAACGCTTTGGCTCTGAGGTCTAACCTGGAAGAGGGGAGGCAGGGTTTTAAGTGAAGGCTTCGCCTTCACTGGGACATGTTCCCTACCCATGCTGGGCTCCTCTTTCTTTGCCTTATCTGAGGAAGTCAGAGAGGGAGTGATGAGCTCTCTCAAGACACGAGTCTTCGCTGGGTAACTTCCTTTGAACTTGCCTGAGGTAGCTGAGTCCGCTGAAGCAAGCAGTGGTGGTGTGTGCTCTAGAGGCACAGAGGGAAGTTGAGTTGGAGACAAGGATGAAGGCTTTGCTCAAAAGCCAAGCAGATCAAGGCTACTGGTTACTCTCCACAGCTAGAAGGTCCTATTGCTGAAGACCAAACTTATATATATCATCAAGCACAGGGAGATTGAGCTGATGTTTGACTAGAAGCATCACCCCTATTGACAAGCATTCAAGGTGCTGGGAGGTGCTCTGCATGCTACCAGAGGCAAAAGGTATCTCTCCCAGCTACCATCCCTGCAGCCTGCCTACAAGATATACTTAGTGGTGCAAGAGTGGCACAAGTTACAGGAGTAAACAACCACTTTCTGGTTAGATTTAAGGTCCATTCCATGAGACAAATCCATACCTGACACTGATAAAGCAGCCAAGATTCCAAAACTAAATAGGCCATAGGCCTGGGGAAAACCTAAAACTATTTTTCTGCTTAAAGGAACACAGCAGAAAAGTGGCCCCTAGTGATAAACTGATACATCCACAGATCAGTGCCTTCCATCAGCTCTCATAGGAGAAGCTGCTTCTTGCAGTAGATGAAGTGTGAGAACCTTAGGAGCACTCACTCCTAAAAGGAATGTCTTTACCAACCCCCCCCCCCCCCCCACTCACCCTCAGAGACCAATGTGGAAGAGGAGGCAGAAAGATCGTTAACAGCCAAAGGTGATGGATGACTCCAGGGAAACTGCATCTTCCAGACACAACAGGACTGATGCACACATGAATCCAGAGTCCTTGGTGACAGGCAGAGGTTCAAGCAAGACAGGGTCCCAAAAATAATGGGCAGAAGTAGACATGGGCTCCCGTCCTTGATCAAGAAACTATCTGCAATTAAAACCTGCTGGCAAAGGAAAAAATGCATTTTCTCCAGTGAAGTCTCATTGGGTATATTAACCACGCACCTCAGGGCAGGCCCCATTCTCAGAAGTTGGCCAACATAAAATGAACTCAGTGGTATTTTTGTAGACTTTTTGGTTTAATCTTGTTTGGGCTTTTTTTTTTTTTTCCTTATTGGTCTTTTGCTTATTTTGACTTTTATTTTTGTGGTTTCATGGGTGTATTTGATTTTTTTTCCCTTTTATTAGACAGAACATAAAGTTATTTGGGAACTGGAAGTGAGAAGAATCTGGGAGGATTGGGGGAAGGAAAAACATGATCAAAATAGTCTAAATTTTTACCTCAAAAAAAAAAAATCCCTCCCAAAAGTCAAGCCTCAACAATGTAGACTTGTTGAGGATGGTGGGACAGACACACACCCTGGTGCTTAACTCCATCCCTGCCCTGCTACCAACAGGCTGTCAGCACATAGCTGGATACATCAGTACCCTCATGTGCAAAGCGGGGAAGCAGATGACCCACTCACTGCAGGGTCTGTGGTTTGTGCCTTTCCTGCTCTGAATACGGAAGTGAGTGCCAGAAGTGAAGGGTAACAATTGAAGGAACCGGCTTCCCTTTTGGCAGCCATAACGGTCGAACATGTGCTTCTATGACCTTGACCTAGTCACTAGAAAGTCAGATGCCTGTCTCGTGACAAGGAACCAATCAGAAGTTAGCTGGTGGCGCTATGCTTTACGACCCTGGGTGTGCTTTACGGACTAGCGCACAGCAATGACGCAGAGAGCATAGCAACCACCCTGGGAGGGCCTATGGGCCATAACAACCAGTTGACCAATCAACACAGGGCAAGCCCTCCAAGCCTGGAGGCACACCAATCGTGAGCCTGTGCGTACCCCTAGACACTCCCCTTACGCTGCCCTATAAAGATCTATGCGCAGCGGCTTCAAGCTGTCTTTTCTAGCTGTCCACCATGGCGGGTGGGTGAAAGACCCGAGCTAACATGGGGTTAGCTCGTTAAATTACAATAAAGCCTCGTGCAGTTTGCAGCAAGCTCTCGAATCCGCCTGGTGATTGGGGTGACCGCGAACGTGGCCTGGGACCCCGGAAACTTGAGTTTTCGGGGGCCTAACACAACCTTCAAGCTGTCTGGGAGAGCTAATTTTGAGTGGTTTTCTGTGCTTGTATCAAGAGGCAGCCTGAGGTTATGGGCAGAGTTCTCTGAGGCATATATCAAGAATGTGGGCGAGAGCAGACATGTTTGAACCCATCAATTCATTTCTCAATTCTGTTTTAATCATTATTGCAGTACGAGGACAGAACACAAGACTGTGTGCTTGCTAGGCCATTTTGGGTTTTGTTGTTTAAGATAGGCTCTTGCTAGCCTTAAACCAGTACCCAACATTTACAATTTTGAGTCCATTTCGTCATTGGAAAGCTCAGGTTGACCATCATTCCACTACTCCACCTACCATCTCTGCCTTGACCTTAGCAAGTTGCTGGGGACAGGGGAAGAGTACAGACTGAGCCTAGAACATACTCCATAGATACTTTGTTGCTACCTTTTGTATTTGACCCTTTCAATTACTTCTTTACCACACCTAAGTTCCTGCTGTTTTCCTGTCTTGCCTGTTGAGGGACCTGACCTCCATTACCACTTCTATAGTTCCTTGGGCAACATGAATGGACCCATCTACCTAATCTCACTATGTATCTCTGGCTGGCCTGGAGTTTCCTATCTAGGCCAGGATGGCCTCAAACTCAGAGATCTGTGTGCACCATCACTCCGTCTGTCCTCATTTTAATCCTGTCCTTACTGACTTCTTTCCCAAACTACACTTCTTTCTTGTGTTAGGGCTCAAACTTCTGGGGCTTTGAGGATGCCAGGCTAGCAAGTGCTGTTCCATTGAATTATATACACACACACCCTTTTTTTTAAACTGGCAGGGTCTCACTGCATAGCCCTGGCTGGTCTTCAACTCCTAATCTTGCCTCTGCCTCTGAAGGGGCAGCATTAAAGGTATGCAACACACTGCTGGTCTTCCTGCAGGCCCTTATTTCCTTCTAGCTTTCCTTCGCACCACCCTTGACATGTCTGTTTTCTCCCACACGCAGTCACCACTGCTGGTTCTGTGTTCTTAACAAATGCCTCATGAATTTGTTAATTTCTCTCTATCCTAACAGTCATCGCCCAGCTCAGCAATTAGACTTATCTCCCAACCCCTTCAACTTCAGATCCTGCTGAGACCTACCGAAGTGATTTCTGTTTGTAGGATGTGCAAACACCCCTAGTGGGCCGCTGAGGCTGCCACTCTCCATATTACCTCCCTGTGGTCCAAGTCACTGTCCCCTCAAGTTCAGGAGCATGTTCTTTCTTACACTGCATGTGCACATGGCTCCCTTTGTGCTCACACAACCTGTCTAGGGTCATTTCTAGGCTCCTTCACACAGCTTAGCTATATTTCAGTTTGAAGGCTTTCTCCAAGTACCCCATCCCACCTTCTTGTAGGTTCTGGTTTATATCAATCATAACACACTTTTCATTGTCTACTCTCCTGGCCTAATTGACATTCTACACTGGCCCCAACCATATCTGGCTCAAATGTTCAACCCCCCGCTTAAGCACAGTGATTGGTATCCTGAGGAAATATAATCAAGAGACCATGGGTTTCCACTGATGATAGCTGGTGGTCCTTTTCCCAGGGCCATCTTCCTTTGCACTGACAGCAGTGGTCTGTGCCCTCCCAAGAGGCTCCCTCATCCAGTCAACCATCAACCTGTTGGTTCTATGTTCTTAATGAGTGGTTTATGAATAGTTTATGAATGTGTCCAGTTTCCTTAACCTGTGCCAGGCAACACCTCTTCATGAGCCCTTGAACACATCATCTTGTGTGTGTGTACACATGCAGAAGCCAAAGGATGACATCAAGTGTCTTCCTCTATTGCTGTCCATCTTATTTTGGGGGACAGTCTCTGACTGAATCTGGAGCTCACTAATTAGCTAGACTGGCTGGCCAGCAAGCTCCAGACTCTCTCCTCATTTCAGGGATACAGGAACACACCACCACTCTCAGCTTTTTATGTGGGTGCTGGGGGTCTGAACTGAGGTCTGCATGCTTACACACACTTTACCAACCAATCTCTCCTCCCCTCCCCCCTCCTTCCTTTTTGTGGTACTGGAGATTGAACCTAAGGCTTCACACATTGCCAGGCAAGAGCTCTAACATTATGTTAGAGCTTCACCCCCTATACCTACTTTTTTCAATCATCTAGAGTTCTGTAAACACTTTTAGAAAGGACTACATCTCCCAAGACTGCCTTCATAAGAACTTTTATTATTATTTAGAAATGCAGTTATATACATAGAACAATTAAAATTAAATTAAACTTTGTACAAATATTAAAATACTATCTTCATACCCACTGCAATGTACAGGATACCAAAAAATATATATAAAAAATAAAATAAAGCAAACCCAGATTGATTGACATCCTGCACAGTCAATTATGCATGTGTTGTTTTAAACCATTATATGAGTACCATTCTGCAAAGGATCCCATAGTGGTGCACAACCTTAAGAAGCCAGGACAGTGTGCATACAGCCATGCAGCCCACAGCCATTTCCTCTCCCTACTTGGCAATCTAAGTGTTCTATCCCCACATCCTCCCTGGTGAGCTCTGCTATTAGAAGAGGGTTTTCTTTGTGTGTGTGTGTGTGTGTGTGTGTGTGTGTGTGTGTGAACTCTTTGTTCAAAACTCTACTAGGTTTTCAGCTGGAAATGAAGTCACATCTTAGAAAAACTAGCCCCACCACTTTTGGCTTTCCAGGGAACCAGCTACCACATCACTCAGCCTAAACATCTGCCAAGAAAATATTCTCTAAAGGCTGCAGAAGACCCAGCAGGCCCCACAAGAGGCGGCTCCAGCCATACTGTCAGGCACAGGCATACCTGCCATCAAGCTGTGCAGTAGGCATGCTACGAGTCCCTTCTAAAGCCTCTCTTTGGTCTTTAAGGAGGAGGAAGGGAACAAGAATCTAGAAATGTCTGCAACATATTCCATTTTCTATTCTGGAATGTTCCTCAGGAACAGAGGAGACAATGTTACGTAGGAAGCCAAGTGTTTCAGGAGCTCTGATGGGTTTGGGAAGAAAAAGGCGCCATCTATCCCCATTCAGCCACTCACAAAGCAGGAAAAGTATACCTTTGTCTTGTAGCCTGGCTTCTCTACAGAACTGTAAAGCTGGGGGTGGGGAAGAGGGCAAGATGAATGGGGAAGACTAAGTTCTCTTTGCAAATGGAGTGCTTGTAGAATGTACACTGAAATGCCTTATAAAAGCAAACAAATCCACAAAGTGGTCAGGACTCCACCCACTTCACAGTTCTCACTCAGTGAAACAGGAATACAGAAACGGCACACAAAATACAGAACTGGGCAGATAAAGCCTACCTGTTTAACTAAGGCATAGAGGGACGGAATTTCTATTTTATTCATTTCACCATTCTGGCCCTTGAAAATTGGTAAGACTGTCACCAGGATATAAAACCTGCATTGAGACAGCACAAGTATGAAAAAGCAAAAGCATCCCCCAAACCAAAACAAACAAAAAAACCAAAACTCTGTGTAAAAGTCCTTTGGTGCCGACTGTCTCTTCTGGACAAGTCTGCAGGATGCCCCTGGAGGTAAACCCAGTTAAGTAGGCAGCAAAACTCCTTCCCACTTGCTCTAAGCATCTTTCTACCCAACAGCCTGGCACCTGCCACTGACCCTGTTTCTACCCAGGCTCCACCTCAAGGCAATTAAGTCCCCCAGTCCCTCTGTATGGGACAAAGTCCAGATGCCCCCAAAGCCACAGCACATGGCTGATAGTTAAGAAATCACTTTAGAAAGAGAAACACAGGAAGAAGTTGAAGATGCCAGCAGCAGTAGGTGGGAAACTCCAAGAACAGACCTCAAAACTAGTTTCAGGAGGATGGAGAACATGACCCTTTTGTCCTCCAGTTAGATGAGCCCGGGCTTGTGATCCCCAGAGAGCATGTTAATGGATGGGGAGAGGGAAGGAGGCACCAGGAGGTTCTTTTATCCAAGGGTCAAGCCAGTCTTCTATGTGGCTAAATAACTTCAAAACAAAAGGTGCAATCTGTTAAGGGGCAAAAACCCAGAGTAAAGACACAGAAAAGGGAAGGATCTTCCATTTTTCTCTTAAAAGCTCCTAGAGCAGAATTCAGATTTTTAGAAGAGGAAGGCTCCTTCAGCAGACTCCTGCCCATCTGCCCCACTTCTCTCTTGAGGAGGGAGGGCACCACTGAGGATAAAGAAGAGTCCTTGTGCGATAACTTGGGGCCTCAGAACCCAACCCCCAGGTGGTATATGACAGCAACTGCTAAGAGGTGTGTACTGTCTCCACTGGGCTTTAGTCTTGTTCTAGCACCTTCTCCAGCCATTCCGAGCCAACCACACTTGCCTGGACACTGGGCACAATAGACTGGCCTCCTGGGTGGGAGATGTGGGAGTGGCCAACAGGGAAGCAGGCACTGCCCTAACCCTGAGAGGAAAGAAGACAGGGTGGCAGGAAGCCAGGCATGACAGGGACTAAAGTGCATTGTAAGTGGAGGCAGTGGGCTAGAGGACGTCATTCCCCTATCTGAGGCCACTGATGCCTGCAGCTAACCCTGTTAGGTCAGGAACTATAAATACCTGGGATTTTATTATTTTTACCACCCCAGAGAGGCTCAGGGAGAAATATCATAGGTGCAGTCCAGAATTGGCTGACATGTCCCAGCCTTGAGGAAAAGAATGAAGGGGGGGGGGGGGGAGAAGCACACATTCCTTAATACCACATCTGTCTTCTCAAGATGATAGAAGCCTGGTGGGCTTCAGCTACCCAGGCATTCGGTGCCATAGGAGGGCCCAGCACAATGCCCAGAGTACCCCTTTGATGCCAGCACTTTCGCACTCCCAGGGCCTAAATCTCATGCTTCTGGGTACCCACCAACCCACACCAGCTGGTAAAGCCAGGGGTGCCGGGAAGCATTTCTTAGCTCTGCAGGAAAGACAGAGTGACTTGTCAGCAATGACATGTGTAAGGGCTTGGAGAAGAGAGCAGAGTAGGAGAAGCAGCAACACAGCAGGCCACTTTCTGGGCATAGTTACTAAGGCACATGACTGTGGTGAGGAGGATCCTCGGGACCTGGCCTGAGCTGCCTGCAGCCACAGGGGACTTGGTCTGTACCTCTCAACCTCCCCTCCATCACCACAAACCTAGAAATGGGCAACTTGCCCAGACTGCCAAAACCCAGATGAGCTTTTGTTGGCATCTCAGCAAATCTCAGGGTTCTGTGGGCTGCAAGGAAGCCAGAGCTACCTAGGACGAAGTCCAGGAGACAGCATGCAACTTCCCCTTATCCAGGAACAGAAACCAAGGCCAAAGCAGTCAATGCTGGAAGCAGGAAGTGAGAACTTGCATATTAGGAAGACAATCATTATCTGACAACCTTCTTCCCTCCCGCAGGTCTTCTGGGTGCTTCTTGGAAACTCAAGAGCCAGGAACTTGCACCCAAGTTGGACGGCTGAGTGCTGGGCAGGTTTGGCATGACTTCCCAAACCTACTCTCAGTTAAGGAAGATGCCATCAGTGTCAACACACAGGGCAAGCTCAGGGACCCATATTCTGGCCCCAATAAGAGTCACTCCTGCTTTAAGGGCCTTACTGTTCAATCTGTTTCTGCAGCCCCAGTCCCAGCCCGTGTACAGGTGGCAATAGCCACTAAGGCCTGTGGACAGCAACCCACCTGCATATCGGGGAACCTGGACAGGGTGGGGGAAGGCACAAGTAAACACAGCAGTGCTCAGGCCCTCATGGCTGTGGGGTTGCCACCAGAGAGCTAGCTGGAAGGGATCCAGTGGCTCGGGAAAGGGAGGGTTCAATCCAGCACATTCAGACATGTCCCTGACAGATGGGAAGGCTGGGCCAGGCAAAGAGCCAGGTCCTCCAGCTGTTCAGTGGGCAGATGGTGAGAATCTTCCATGAGTATCCAGCGGGATGGCCTGCAGGCCCTCAGGTACACATAGATACACAGGTGGCAGCTCAGGCATCCAGGCGGGACAACTGGAGAGGACATGGTACTCAAACCCACAGGAGGAGAGAGGACGGGCAGAGAGGAGAGAAGCCAGTGGCAGCCCTCATGCTTCTTTCAACAGTGGGATATCTGCAGAGAGGTGGGGAGAAAACAGTAGTCAACGAAAGCTGTCTCAATTCTACTCCCAACTCTACCTCAGGGACCCCCCACATGGCCCCCATTTAAAGAAATAACGCTCTGCAGCACACATGTAAGCTATTCAGAATTTCTTGCTTTCTGCCTCATCTCTCCAACTGCCTGTATGATAAAATCTCAATGCTGAGCCTGGCATTCAAACACCTTCTGGACCCACCAACACAACCTTGTCTCTTTTCTCTGCTGGTCTAGTTACTTTTAGTTCTCCAGTCTTGCTCTAGGAAGCCACAAAGTCCTCAAGTACCAGCATTTCCTTAAAGCCACCTGACGTCTCTGTGAACATGGACCAATCACATTGTTTCTTTGGGTTTTGGTCTTCTCAGATGTCACCAGAGGGGAGAAGGCCAGACCCATGTGTCATTTCGTTACTTTATAGCTATCCAATTTTTTAATGTGTGTGTACAACTGCACACTGCAGGGAGTATGTGATGATGTGCACTCGTACCTGCAGGCCACAGAACAACTTTTGGGAGTTCTCATTCTATTATGTGGGGCCCTGGGATCTAATTCAGATCATCAGGTTTGGTAGCAAGTGCCTTTACCCGCTGAGTCATCTTGCTGGCCTTATGTCTCTATTTTAAAGATAGGGTCTATGCAGTTCAAACTAACGTGGACTTGTGGTCCTCTTGTCTCAGTCTCTGAAATGCTAGGATTGCAGGCCTGAGGCAACATCTGGCTAGCACAACAATTACTGGTTCCATAATGCCTCCAATTAAGGCCCCATTGTCTTTCCAACTGATACTCCATGCAGCAGAGTGCATGTTTCCTGTTTGAGTCAGACCTGAAACCCCATTTGGCACCAAACATGAGATGGAGCTTTCAAAAAGGCCTGTTCAAGCCAGGAGTGATGACACCTACTTTTAATTCCAGCAGAATTATTTTTAATTGGAGGCAGAAGCAGGCTAATCTCTGTGGTTTTTAGGCCAGCCAAGGCTACAAGTGAGACCCTGTCATTGAAAAAAGAAAGCTTACTTAAGCTAGCACATGGTAGACAGCTGTGATCAGCCACTTGGGAGGCTGAGGCAGAAGGACAATGGTTTCTAAGGCAGAATGGACTATGCAGAGAGACCCTTTCTCTGAAAACAACAAAGTAACAAAAGCCCTCAATCCAAAAACACAAGCAAGAAGCCATCAAGGAAGAACAGGCAATTTCCTTGGCTCCTGAAGAAGGATAAAGGGTGCCACCTGCTCTTAGCCACATCTCATATGTGCCTGAGGGTCCAGAGGTCACTGACTGCCACATCCAAACTAGGTCAGTTATTACAGGGCCCTTGCCATCTTTCTCCAACAAAGAACAAAGATAAGCTACTGATAGACACATTTCTAAGTGTTAGACATAGACTCTCTCCAGCATACCAGGATTTGTGAAGTTTCCTCTAGGGCTCTTTCAGAAAGGCAGAAAGTGTTACTATCAACAGTGAGCTTCTCTGTTTTGTCTGAATCTAGAACTACACTGGGATTTCACCTATAGATATTCTTTAAAGTGACAGATTTGAATTGCAGTTAAATTCTCCAGCAAAGGCAGATTGTCAGTAGTCAACCATTGCACTCTATGGCCAGTCTGACACAAAGGAACTAGTTACCATCATGGCATTGTAAGGTTAAAAATGCTATTTAGGGCTGGAGAGATGGCTCAGAAGAGCCCTGGCTGCTTTTCCAGAGGTCTTGAATTCAATTCCCAGCAACCATATGGTGGCTCACAACCATCTGTAGTGAGATCTTGTGCCCTCTTCTGGCCTGTAGGCTGACATGCAGGTAGAACACTGGATATATAAGAAAAAATTTTAAAATACTGGCTTAGAGGCACAGTCATTTAGTTTTAAATCTCAGGTGTCAATTACCAGTGGATAAATGGGTTCCATTTTCTCCATTTGTAAAGTGGGGACAGTCATAAATACCTACCACTCACTGTCACGCTTAACTGATATAGACAGCACAAGGAAACTGGCAATATACTCCTGTGTAAATGAAGCAGCTGTCTTCTCTACACGACACGCAGGCTACCATTTTCTCAGCAGTCCAGCCCAAGATCTCCTTATTTCCTGCCTTTCAGGAACACAAAACTTTTTAATAGCCCTATACCCTGACCCCTATTCCATTTGGTTTAGCGGAGCCTATGGCTGTGAATAGTATTAGACTCTAGAGCCATCACAATTCATAGGTAACAATGAAGTCTCCCTACTAGATCCCAAAGCTTTACCTGGCATTCTGAGGACCAAATCCTACTTTGTAGGCTAATACTCTGGCTGTTACTTTTTTTTTTTGGGTGGTGGGTTGAGGGGTGAAAATACACTAATTATCAGAGTGGCCTACAGGGCTTCCTCATTCCCAGCAAGAATTCCAACAGCTAGTGATCCATGTTTAGCAAAGACCACTTACCATCTGTGTACTCCTCTGATGTGAGGGATAAAAGGCTTTGTATGTCACTGTTCTCCGAATCTGCAGCGTCTTTGTGTGTTGGCCGGCTGCTCCCTGAGCCGGCCACCCAGGAAGATGTGGTTGCTTGGTGCACCATCACAGTCTCTGAGCCCTGGGAACCCCAGGCTTCACACAGCCCAGAATGGCCCGGAGCCTCATCCTCTCCACCTGCAGAAGAGCAGGCCCCCTGGCCCTGAAGCTGCTGTTCCCTTGGCACGTTCCTCCCACTAGGTGCAGACCCTTCTGACAGAACGATCTGTACTCTAGGGTCAGCCGGTGGCATGCAATGACCAGAACTGCCATACACGGCTTCTTCGTATGAAGGTAGTGCAACCTGGACCCCATCCACCATGATGGAGACTTGGTCCCCAGAAACCCCTTGGTCACGCCTGGATCAGAAAAGAAAGACACAAGAATCTGAGCAACACAGAGGTGACTCAATAACATTGTACTAACAAAACCCATCATTCTCCAGCACTTATTATATACCAGCAAGTAGGAAGTACTTTAAACACTTTAGCATGCTGAATGGATCCTCACCTGAGCCCTTTTCATGAATGGATTCACCATTGGCTCAGAGAAGTAACTGCTTGGCAGCCAGAGAGCTGGTAAAGGGCAGACTTGGGATTGAACCCCTTTTTACATACTTCTAAAGACTGTATTCTTGGGGCTGGAGAGGATGGCTCAATGGCTAAGAGCCCTGGCTGCTCTTTTTTTTTTTTTATGTTTTTTTTTTGTTTAAAAAATTCTTCTTCCATGTATATCTGCACACCAGAAGAGGGCACCAGATCTCATAACGATGGTTGTGAGTCACCATGTGGTTGCTGGGAATTGAACTCAGGAGCTTTGGAAGAGCAGCCAGTGCTCTTAACCTTTGAGCCATCTGTCCAGCCCCCTCTTTCTTTTTTTGTTTTTTGTTTTTTTTTTCTTTTCTTCTTCTTTTTTTTTTTTTAATGAGACAGGGTTTCTTCTGGAACTCTTTAAAGACCAGGCTGGCCTCAAACTCACAGAGATCCACCTGCCTCTGCCTTCCAAGTGCTGGTGCACCACCACCGCCTGGCCCACTGGCTGCTCTTTCAAAGGACCTGGGTTTGATTCCCAGCATCCATATATCATGCATAGACATACATGTAGACAAATCACTCATATATCTTGCTGGGTGTGGTAATACACACCTCTAATCCTAGCACTTGAGAGGCAGACACAGGAAGAATCTCTGAGTGTGAGGCCAGCTGGTCTAGAGTGAGACTCTAGTTTTTTTTTTTTGTTGTTGTTTTTTTTTAATCACACATACAATTCTGAATTTTAACACAAATGCAGGAAAAAACATGTGGCAAAGTCTACATAAGGCCCCTGCATGATCCCAAGGTGGCACTGGTGTACAACCGAGGCCAGGAGCTGCAGTCTAGGTCCTCTGTTCCCATCCTAGGCACTCCCACTTCCTCAACACAAGGGTCTCACCACCACTGTCTTGGCTTACATGGAAACCACTTGCCTGATTTTTTTTTTTTTTTTTTTTGAGACAGGGTAGACACCACATCTAGCTGATGTTGTTTTTAAAGAGACATGTCTAACCCTGGACTCAGGGTCCTTTTACCTCAGGTTCCCAAATGCTAGAATTACAGGCATATAATATACTAGGGCTGGCTCTTGCTCTGTAGACCAGGCTGGCCTAGAACTCACAGGGATCTGCCTGTCTCTGCCTCCCAAGTGCGCCCACAGACTAGCTTTTACTTTGTATTCTAATAATTTGACTATAACACAAGTCCTTCAACACTGGTTTGGCTTTAAATATATACGTTTAGATATGCAACCCCTCTAGCTTCTTTTTAGTGAACATTGAGAGATTTACTTATTCAGACACCTTTTCTGGGGATCACTCTTATTATACACGCATTCCCCCCCACCTACCCATTTTAAAGCATGGTGAAGACAAAATTTTGTATAAGCCTTACGATTTCTTTCCCCATATAACTTACAATGTTGTTACAGTCCAGAAATGTAACAATGGTATACTATAAAACAAGCTTCCCAAATTGTTCACAAAATTGTCTATTGCTGCTCTGTTCTTTGTTTTTATCCAGAATCAAACATACGTGCAGGCTAATTTTATGTCAACTTGATATAGGCTAGAACAGTGGTCCTCAACCTTCCTAATGCTATCACCCTTTAATATAGTTTCTCATGTTGTGATGACCACCCAGCCATAAAATTACTTCATTGCTACTTCATAACCGTAATTTTGTTAGTTATGAACTGTAATATAATTATCTAATATGGGAGTTCCTATGAAAGGGTCATTTGACCCACAAGGGGGTTGTGACCCAGACTAAGAATCACTGGACTAGAGTCATCTGAAAGGAGGGAATCCCAACTGAGAAAATGCCTCCAGAGTGGGCTGTAGGCAAGCCTGCTGAGCATTTCCTCAATTAGTGATTGATGTGGGAGGGCTCAGCCCAGCCCTTTGTGGGTGGGGTCATTCCTGGGCTAATGATCCTGAAAACAGGCAGAACAAGCCAGTAAGCAGTACTCCTTCATGACCTCTGCATTAGTTCCTGCCCTGTTTAAATTTCTGTCCACATCTCCTTCAGTGAAGGATTATGGATGTAGAAGTGTAAACCCTTTCTCTCCAACTTGTTTTTGATCTTGGTGTTTCATTATAACATCAGTAACCCTAAGACGCATACACTCTATGATTATTTGTCCTATCCCTTTCATTTCCACTAGAGTATACACTAGACTTTTATGACATTTTTTAAAAATTAAGATTATTTTATTTTATACGTATGACTGTTTTTTCTGCATGTATGTCTATGTACCACATGGGTGCAACACTCCCAGTGGCCAGAATAAGGTGTCAGATCCTCTGGAACTGAATCTTCAGATGGTTGAAGCCATCTTGTGGATGCTAGGAATTGAACCCAGGTCCTCTAGAAGAGTACCCAGTGCTCTTAACTGCTGGGTCATCTCTCCAGCTTCAGAGACCCTGACAATTTTTTTAAGTGTCCAGGCCAGCTGTCTAGGAGGATATCCTACTACTTAAATGTGTGTAATTATTTTTCATTATAACTGAATGTAGCTTAGCTTTTACCAAGACTACTCAGACAGGAAGGATGTGTTCCTTCATTTTCCACACTGAGAGGCACAGTACCAATGCCTGGCTATACTGGTATTACCATTGCTCATAAGCGATTAACTCTCAATTTCTTTACCTGTACCTGGCAAACACAATCTACATTGCCCAATTCAAGTAACATATACACTGAAAACAATTAGCATCCCTAAAAGTACCCAGACATTTCTGAAGGGAAATGTTAAAATTTTTTTGTTGCTGGGTGTGGTTATACATGTCTTTAATCCTAACACTTGGGGGGGCAGAGGGAGGAGGGCACCTATGAGTTCTAGGCCAGCCTGGTTTACAGAATTACAAGACAGCCAGGGCTACACAGAAAAATCCTGTCTTGAAAAACAAAACTTTTTATTTATTTAGTGTATGCTGTCCTCTGACCCTCCCACATGTACACCACGTATGCATAGCACATGCTCACTCACATAGTAAACATAGTTAAAGAGTCTCCTTCAAAATACCTCTTTAAAAATAATTGCTACTCCCATTTCTTCTAGACAAGAGGAAAAAGGAAATATCACATTCCTATACAGAAATTCACTTCAGTACCCTGTCCAGTACCTGTAAGTTCCAAATCTGGAGCATTTTATAGAGTGTAGTTTAATCTGGACTGTTGTACCTGAGAGCTAAGACAGTGACTAATGTAGGGCTATGAATGACTATAAATGATCTATTCTTCAAAGGCATGAGGTACCCTCAAGGGCTGAGCAACTACAGAAGCCAAGGCAGGGTAGGAGAAAAGTCCCCTATCAGAGATATACTCAGGGCTATTCCCACCGGGGCACCACCATTTGCCACCCCATCTCCTGAGTCTAGGATGATTAGTAGATAATATACCATAAGAGAAAAAGAATCTGCAGATAATCCACTTCTTCTGATTTCAGAATGGTTCCATGGTCCTGGATTCTCACTACACATTAAAATTATCTGAGAAGCTTTCTAGAAATGATTAAGGCCAGGATCCCACTCCAAACCAAAATAAATTAGAATCTGGGGAAGCTGAGCTGCACCAAGGATTAGAAACCAGGAGCAGGAAGAGGTAGCTTGCAAAAACACGCATGTATCCACATCATACAGAGAGCTATAAATCCTATCACTGCGCCTTAGCTCCAAAGTGTCTCAGGAGTGATGATGCCAATGTTGCTAAAACCACACTCCAGAGATAAGTGGAAATGCCATGGCTTTCAGGTTGAACAGATTTAGGTTTAAATTCTGCAGTCATCGTGAGATATAACATGAATATTTCCATTTGTCTGTAATGTTCCCATTAGGATCAAAGTAATGTATGTGAACCAACAAATACAGCAGCATGCAGATTCCAGGAATTTAACACACAGCTGAACCCTCCTCTCCACTTCCCTAAGATACAGACTGCAGAGGCTATAGGCCAGCAGCTTCCTAGAGCTAGTCCAAGGCTGGTCTCATGGGGATGCTTGACTAACAATGTGCTCACCTGTTATGATGAAAAGACTTCAGCTTTGGCTGCAGCAGTACAAACAGCACCACGAGGAGAAGAATGAGTGCCACAGAGCTGGCAGTGGAAGCCACTATGGACAGCGCAGGGACCCCGAGTGACGTATGAGTTTCTTTATCTAAGGAAACAAGTCATCACAAACATTTGGTACCCAGAAACATAACACATGGGCTCTGTGGATGATGTGGCCAAATATTCCCTGCATGGTAATATACAGAAATATTTATTTGACAGCTGAACCTTTTCAGGAAAATCTTATAAAGTGGCCTATGTATGTATAGTATTTCTGGAAACATTTCCTTTCCTGTTCCCTGAATAAGATCCTCCCCTCACTCACTCAGTTTAACTGGTACCTAAACTCACTTAACTCTGGAGTTCTTAAAACACCAATGGCAGGCTGGCAAACATCAACTATTAAAAGGGCCACATCTTTCTACCACCTTGAGTTCCACCATGTTTTCCCCCAATACAGCAGGATAATTAAGAAGTGGGCAAATAATAAGGTCCTGTCCTAAACCCCATATTGTTTCCCATCCTTCTCTGAGGTGTTACAGGTTCTGGTTTTGTAGCCAAGTGTGAAGCAGAGAGAAAGCCATATGACACACACCCTTTTAGAAATCTGCATTTTCCTGTCATGCTAGACAAGAAGAGGCAGGAAGGTAAAAGACGGATTCTGTACAACAGGGCTACAGCTCCATAACAAAACTGTCACTTTCTACTCAAGAGAAAAACGGAATGGAAGAGACACTGGAAAATGTGTTAGCATTGTGCTCGTTGCTCACTGTGCTTGCAGACAGAACACAGCCTAAGGTCATCAGCATCTGACTAGGCAAACAGCTATCCTGACATCAAAAGAATTTTACATAGTCAGGCAGATGCCTCAATAAAGACACAGAGCTTCTCAACGGTTCAGTGGAATGAAATGTGACATGCACCAGCAACCCAATGACATCCACAAAGACATGGAATACTAAAGAAAGAGAGGCCAAAGGGCTTAACACAGCCAAAGGAGCTCTCGAGAAAGTATGCACCATTCCCCAGAAGCTAGGAAAAAAGCAGGACCCAGGCAGCACCCCATTTCACATGTAGACTCACCTTCATTGAGATGACAGCTGACCTCCATGGCTGGCTTCCACTCACCATCCTTGCAGGTCAGGTATTTGTAGTCGCCCTTCAACATGTAGCCTTCTGCACATAGGTACTCGATGACACTGCCTGCTGTCAGCGGGTCTTTGCAGGGCCGGGGGTGGCAAATGTAGCCACCATTTTCTGGCTCTGGAGGCAGAGGACACACTGCAAAGACAGAGGGAAATGGTATCACAGTGAGGCTTCAATGGGCATGTACTCTCAGTAGCATGGCCCCGAAATACGAGGGGCATAGAACCATCCTTGGAAAAGCCTGCTGAACTAGTATGGAATTCAAGTTGTCACTGACAGGAGGACGTGCACCAGTAAGTCTGGCTACTTACAGCATTTCTCTCCTCCCCACTGGCCAGTAGACTCCAGAAAAGTTCTGTACCTGCTTCAATTTGGACCTGATTCAAACAGTGCTTATTAACAGTCAGACTGAGAGGGGATAAAGCATGGACAACTAACTCGTTATGGCAAGTGTTAGGATTTTTTACAACATTGGTGCCAGGAAGACACCCTGGTATAATCAAAGCATGAGTTTGGCTTCTGAGAGGATTTCAGAGAGCTTTCCTGGGAGGCTTCCCAAACCCCATGCACCTTCTCTTGTCGGCCATGCTTCACTTGCCTCTGTCCCACAATTCTCCTCTAGGAATAATGACCAAGTTTTAAAGTTATTGTCATCTCTTAGGATTCTGTGAGGTAGTTATCATTTCTTCCCTCTGACGATGAGGATATTAAGTCCCACAAAGTGAAGCAACTTTTAGCCAAGATTAGGGCAGGGTGACCAGAATCAGGACTTCTGATTCTAACCCTGAGCTCTTTTTCCCATGAGACCTAATGCCTATCCCATGAGTGATTGGGATAGGCCACTCCCTCAATCTGGCCAACGAAGATGGCAAACAGGGTAGGTGGTGGGACTGTGGTTTAGAAAAGCTGTCGTGGGGTCACAGGAGCTGGAAGGTCTGAGCAGCTCTTAGGAGAAGGGAAACTCTTTCTATTTCATATAGATTACAGAACTGAATCCCAAGCCAGGCAGTGCAAGGGGGTGTGTCTAGCCACATTTGAGTCCAGTGGGGCACTAAGGAATCACTGAAAGGCTAGCCTGGGAGAAGGCAGCATGACTAGGCACTCATGACCTCCAACTTTGCAAATGTTTCACAAACACAAGATTCAACAGAGATTTTTCCAAAGGAAATTCAGTTTTGCTGACTACATGCCAGCCTATCCCCTGTATCACAGAGACATCCGTGTGGGAATCAGAATGGTGGTTTCCTTTTCTCACTTCCTCTAACAGACTCTGACTGGGAATGACACAGGACTGTCCGACTATCACGATAAGGCCCTGGCTCACTTCCATGTGAATGTCCCACAGATCAGTCTGCAGCCTCCCAGTAGCTCTGACCCAGAATGCTATTATGCAGTCTGGCTACGGAAAGGTGTTAGACGTAAAAAAGAGCCTCAGGCTGCACATCCCTAGATGTAGGTAGAAAATATGTCATTTTCTTTCTTTCCTTCTTTTTTTTCTTCCTTTCTTTCCTTCCCTGCTCCTCCTCCTCCTTCTTCTGTCATTTAAGTACATTTATAATTTTGGGGGGCATTTCTTGGGACTGAACCAGGGACTTGTGCATGCTAGATAAGCACTCTATCACTGAGACGCTCCCATTCACTTTCCTAGTATATGCTCTACCACTGACCTACACTTCCAGCTCAACAGTTTTTTAAAGTTGCTAATTTAAAAAGCTGCCAAAAGATCTAGAAGTTTGACAACTATGAAACTAGAAGATGAATCCAAATATGAGGCTGTGTCCCCTTGAAGGATATATCTCTGATATCCTTACCACCCACCCAGCTCAGAGTCCTGAGCAGGAGGGAAGAGAATACAAGGATTTCTGTAATTCTCAAAGTCAGTGGTCAAGTCATTCAGAGAGCTGGCCAGCAAACCAGCTGTCTTACTATTTCATTTTCCATCTTTTGTTCAGAGTAAGCCCCCTCAGACCTTCTGACTGATGTTTCTCTGCAGACTGTGTCTAATTGGTTCATTTCCTGGGCATAATTAATGCTGAACATTCTGGGTGGCTTGTGAGAGTAGGCAGGACCCACAGAGGCCAGTGTGCTTGGAAGAGGCTCGCAGAGAAGGGCTAGGATTCGAGGGCCATGCCTACTCTGCTATACCTCCCCTTCCCCTGTAAATCCCATAAATAGATAGGATCTCAGCATATATATATAGCATAAAGTTAAAAAAATAAGGTGTGCAGTGAAAATCCAGACATTTTCTTGCGCTCTGACCAATCAGTTCCCTCCAAAGATAGCATGTAGTTTTCCCTTATGCTTCTAAAACATCTCCCCACGCAGACTTGTTCTAATATGTCCCAAAGGATGGGATTCCTACTTCAAGACAGGGAGCATAAGGGCAGCAGAAATAACAGCTTGTACGGGGGCTCAGAATAACTCTGGAAAAGGGGCCCCTCAGATGAAGCTTCTTTTCATCAGGAGGGGAAGGGGCAATTTTTAGCAAATGCAACGAGATTGGAGAGTGTAAGTTAAGCCCAGGGAATCCAAAGTTTCCCAGTTTGGCTGAGCTGATTAACAAAAACCTTAGAGAGGACCTTGCCTCACAATTAAGAGAAACTTGTTATATGTTTAAGGTTCTTTACAAAAAGAGTTGAATCCATTCTGAGGTGCACCAGATTATTTCAGTAGTACAGCAAAAATAAACTTGGCATAAAAATTATTTTGTGTTTATCTACAAAAGTCACTCAAAAGCAATAAACTGGAATACTGCAGGTTCAGCATCAAGACAGTCAGAACCAGGTTCAAGAAAATAAAGAGGCTCTAGAATGAAGGGTCAGGAAACAGAACAGGCAAGGTCACTCTGAGATATCAAGGCCACACACATAAAAATATTGCTCTTTAGTCCACAGAGGAGACTATGGGGAAGAGCTAAAACATAGGCCTTCAGTGAAGCCTGAAGGTTACAGGAAAGGGAAGAACATCCAGGGAAACCAAAGTACACAAGGCAATGAAACACCCAGGAATTTCTGGCAGCCATGGTCCTGGCCAGGAGACTGACAATCTATACTTCAGGCTTTCTTTTTTTGTTTTTGTTTGTTTGTTTTTGTCAATACAGGGTTTCTTTGTGTAACAGTCCTGGCTGTCCTGGAACTAGATTTTTAGACCAGGCTGTCCTAGAATTCACTAATACTCATCTACCACTGCCTCCCAAGTGCTGGGATTAAAGGCTTTGCCACCACTGCCAGGTTTCCTTTTACAATTCCTCACTTAAAAAGGGAAGTTAAAGCTTTGTTCTTAACCCTGGAAAGACAATGAACTTATCTGATTTGGCAATAACTTAATTTTTAAGAGGAACAGAAAGCCAGATAACTTTAGAGGGGAAAAAAATTCATTCTCCTAGTTGCTGCTTCTGCATTCTACTGTCTCCTACAGATACTTAGGGCCTACATGTTAAATACTGTGTCTCCTCTGAGACTTCCTCAACAGCAACACTTAGATCCATAGATTTTAAGTAAAGTAATATCTGAAACTGTCTTGTACCATACCAAGTACATGACAGATATTAATAATTCTTTGTTTACTTTCACATAGTAAATAAATCCTCAAGGGAAGGGGCTAACCCACCAGAAGGCAATGTCTCCAGGGGTAACTAACACACTCTGAGCATTCAGTGACCATCTAGCCAGGCAGCAGTGAGAACACAAATTTGAGAGAAATGATCCAGCTGAAGTTTCCACTTTAGGGTCGCCTTAGCCTAACACACTCCTCAAAACCCAACAAGAACCCCAAAGCCCTTCTAATTGTCTTGCCTTTGTTGTTTTGGTGCCCAGTCTTTCAGGAAAAAGAGGCAACAAATTTTTGTAACAGCTCAAAGAACAAAATAAAACTCCAGGAAAGGTCTCGGGATAAACATACAAATATCTGAACCCTTTCAAAACAAGTAGCAAGCTATAGAAAGAATTGGGATGCAGCATCCAGTCTCTACGGGATTAGAGGGGACAAGGGCAGGCATACATTTAAATATCTAGTATATTTTCAAAAGACTAACCAAAAGAGGTTTCTGCCTAACAGTCACCAAGAAAACATTATACTATCAAACACAGGAGCCGCAGGGTTAACTGTTGTGTCAAGTGTTCACTCACAGGCCTGAAATAATATAGTTTCACATTAAAATCAGTATGTTAGCATTTGGGATACAAATGAGCACAAAGAAATAGTTGTTTAGGGGACTGGAGAGATGGCTCAGCAGTTAACAGCACTGTCTGATCCTCCACAAGATCAGGGTTCCATTCCTAGCAGCACAAGGTATCTCACAATCATCTACAACTCCAATTCCAAGGGATCCAATCAATGCCGCCTTCTGGCCTCTACAGATATTGCAGGTATATGATGTACAGACTGAGGGTGGGGGAGGGGAAGAGAAAGAGGGTCCCAGGCCCAAGCATTAATTCTAGAGAAGTGATCATTGGAGCAGGTTTTGTTGAGACAGGAGTTCTCTGTGAAGTATCCTTCACAAGTTGAGTCTTAACAGCTCATGCCTACTGATGATATATGCCAGGCACTATTTGAAGCAGTTTACACATGGAACTCCTTTATGTTTCACAACACACACAGACATACACACACACACACAGACACACGCACATCTTAAATATACTCCTAACATGAGCAAATTAAGGAAGAGAGGTTAAGATACTTGTCCAGTGCTAACCAGCAGGTAAGGCTAGTGCAACATATCAGGAGGTCTCAGAGCCTAGCTTCTCCCCCAAACCTTCACCTGCCATAGGTACCTCAGTGAGAAGTTCAGCAATATGGACAATCTGGACAAGGTAAGCAAACACTGAGGTCATTTCTAGGCTCGTTTTATTACACAAAGGCACTAAACCAAAACACCTCTGAGGTCATTTCTGACATTGAAAATCTGTCTGAAGTTGACTATGTGGTATCACCACCTCTCGAGAGGTTCATTTATAAAAATCCTAAACCAAGTGGTTTTAAACTTGCCTCAGAGTATGAAGGGCTGGCAGCACCTTGTGTCCACATAAGAAAGAGCTCCTTCAATGGAGCAGGTTCTTGCCACAGGCTTGCTGTGGGAGCCAGAAAAGAGAAATCTCATGACTAAGAAGACACCCAGGGCTGCTTCTGAATGG